ATCAACCCCTCCCGTTTCCACCATTAACAGTTTTAAAAGTCGGGGTGTCCCCCCTGGCTTACAGCATGGCATAAGTCAAGATATTCTTTCGCTGTCAACCGTTGACCACGGTGTGTATCCGACCTCTCATCATAACTGAAGCATGTCCCACAACCACGAGGCTCTTAGATTCTCAGCAACCACTGTCTAGAGACTCACTTTTGTTTTATCAACTTAGTTGATAATGCAAATTGACCATCCCAAGGCAATACTAAAGCTGAAGTTTCAAGTGTTAGCTCTTCGTTAGAGCGAATGACGAAGGGCTAACGCTCAAAAATTCAGCTTTAGAATCGCTCTACGTCGGCTAATTCACATTATCAACTCAAAGTTATCTTGTGATATCCAACATCGACACAGCATTAGTTTGTTCGGAAACTTCCCCTTTACCATTTGTCGTCTATAAAGTTAGGTTTAATTCTGTATAACCCCTAGTCTTTCTCCATTAAAAATCTTCCTTGTACAACTGAACAAAAGCTAATTTAGCAAGAAAATATGAATTAATTGACAGTCTTATCTGGGGAGAGACATAGAACGTTCATTTAACATATTATTTCCTATGAATGATTCATCGCCAATGAAATTCAAAAGCAGACCCACCCCCAAAGTATACTCAGGCACTTTGAGATCTCGTGGCTGTCTAGGGTCCAGTCCTCCGTCATATCCAGCCATAGCCTATTTTAAAGTTGAAGAGTCATTATTCATTATTAACGATTAAATCCACATTTAAAAACCCAATAGAAGTGATCTCTAAAATAATGCACGGGTAGCAACCAGACAATTAATATACCGTTTACACAAATTAATTTCGCGCTGTTTTCGAAATATTTTCAAACTGTTGACAAATAACGACACCCACTTATCATTATTGATCTGATAGTCTCCTGCTGAACCAAGAAATCAGGTGGAGCAAAAACAAAAAGTGCGCGATAATTCAAGATTCTTATGCCGTTAGACACCGATTACTTTTATTGGGAAGTCGC